AAATCCCAACATTCTTTAATTTTCCTGAAACTCAAGTCTGAGTTTGCTTTTCAGTTCCAGCTCCGATAGAATCTCCAGATCAAACTCATTAGTGTGGTTAAATCCAGGTTTGCTGATAGAAACGTGTGGGACAGCAAACAAAATCAGTATCAGGCCTCGAGAGAGGATGTGCCTCTTTAATTGAAAAAGGCAGAGTAATCATTCATTTATTTAACCCAGAGATGATTATAATCTGAAAACCTTGAAATCCTCTTACACAACAACTGTTTTGGCAAGCCCCTCTGTGTTCCAACAAATATTAAACTGTGCTTGCCATTTGTCTAAGGAATCTTGTATTAATAAACATGAAGAAGAACACTTTTACCTCCCACACTCAATGACAGAAGAAAACAAAGACCAGCTGTATTCATCAATGGATCCTTGTTCTGCACATAAAGGCTAATTACATTTTACTTCAAGCCTACACATGGAAAACTTCGCTGCTGCCATCTTGTCAAATTCAGCTTCTGATATTCCAGCTGACAGACTGCAATGACTGCACGTAATAAAGTTCTTTTTGCCATTAACACCTTCAGCGCCCTGCACGCGGGGTATCGCGGGGCGCAGGCGCCAGGGGAGGGGGCACGGGCAGCACCTCCGCCCCCGCTGTACACACGTTACCTGCTCGCTGGCAAAGGGAACGGGGGATTTTCATACACCGGGATGATGGAAGCTAATCTGACTGAAGATTTTAATTTCGGCAACTCATCTCATTTGAAGATGCCTTGCTAGCATCAAGTCCGGACGGTACCTCCGTACCTCACTTTGCACACAGTACTTTGAACGGGGACATTTTGAAAAGATAAACAAACAAGTTGACATAATGATTTCCAACTTTAAGATCACAACAACCAGTCGCTAAGACAGAAACCAGACTCCTTAATGCTGATACTGAAGACTTCTTACTGTGTATTTCTTTTGCTGCCTTTTTTTTGTTTGAAAGATTTTCAAAGTTACAAACAGTTGAAAGACAGCTTTATTCCAAAACTGAAAATCTTAAAAGCACTGTTAGCTTTAAAAAATTGACAATTATCTTTTTTTTTCCTGAAGGCACTCCAATTCATCTGCATCAAATAAGTGTCTGTAAAACTAACAATTCTGGCCTAAGATAAAAATCACATGTTTTTAAAACATAAAATTAAAATTGGCAATACAAGTAGCTTTTCAGACTTAGATCAAAAGAGGGTTTCTTTTTATAAAAGAATCAAACTGTCTTTCACCGTTTTTATTGGTGTTTTTTCAACATTTCTCCCAGCTTTTACAATTAAAGTAGATGACTCAATTTCACTGTCTACATTCAGTTCCCTTTTCATGTTTTTCTAGATTTCCATATTGCAAAATTTGGGCTACAAATGCCACAGATGACTGCTGTTATGCAAGAACTATTCCTGCCATAAATATCTAAAACAATGATAAAATATTTCTGCTGTTATTAGGTCCTACAAGTTTGTTTTCACAGTACATTAGTTTGGGAGATAAAGTACATGCTTAATGTCTGCTTCAGGATCAGTTCTGTGATCACTATATCCCAGACCCAGCCTTCATAATCGTTCTGCTACAGAACACAATAAACTTATTGTTACTGCAGATGCTACTAATTTTATGTAATTCTATATATATTAGGTAAGAATCATATTCAAGATCATATGAAAATATTTCCACGTGAATCTCTCTGAAAGAATGAAACACATTAGAAAAGCAAACAAACATTTTGGAGTACATCTTTTGCTCAGTAGAAGATAAATTACAGTACTTAGGGAAACAGTATTAAAAACTGAAGCAAACACTCTGCAAATAAAAACATTAAAAAGGGTGAGGGGTTATTAGGTTCAGTGCCTACAACCACTGAGCCCTGATCTCCTACTGCTCCTGCAGAAGTAACTGCAAGACAAAATAACAGCAACAGAGCTGCCAGCATCAGTTACATGCAGAAAAAAAAAAAAATAAAGGTAATCTGCAGTAAGTTAGGGCTCCATCAGAAACACCATTTCTATGTGTCTCAGAGAAGGATGAAATCAATGAGGGAACAAAAAATACTTTTGATCATCTTATATGGAACTCAAAGGAAATTGGGACTTAGAGAGCAAAACCAAAATTTACCTAAAAGGTTATCTTGAATGATGTAAAAGGTGTTTCAACTCCAAGTGCCGATTCTTAACTACTATCAACTGTAAGCTCCAAGATCCCCACATACTCTGTACAGAATCGGATCCTCACTGCTCATAGAACCACGCACCAAGAGATTAAAACTTGTTGCCAGTTTGCCTGGTTTTGAAAACCTTGTATTGTCTGCCATAAGCCATACCAGAAAGCACTTACCTACAGACAAAAACAAGACCATGTCATTCCTCCCATCAAATGTAGGCTACAGTTTCTCTTGCCCCAACACAGAGACTGCCAACAGCCTTCCCGTCCCATTTCTCCTGCACCAGAATGGGTGGTAAGGGCAGGAGCAAGGCTTTTCCTCTCCATTTACCCAATCACCTGCCTACCTGGAAGCAGAGGAGAAGCTGGGGCTCTGCAGGACGCGGGTAGTGGGCACAGGGATGTGACCTGCGTCTTCCAACCCTTGTCCTCACAGCAGGCCAGGAACACCCATCTGAAATGGCTGCTTCTTTCCCTTCCCATTTCCAGACACAGAAATGACTCCTTGGGCTTAATACTGCTGATCAAGAGAATTCCTTCTCATTACTAACTTTCCTTAAATATGAAGGGTTCAAAGAAAAACAGCAGAAGTCTGTCTCTCTTTTGTTGTTTTCTGCACCGATTGTGAATAAAACCAGGGGATAATTGAAAACAGTAGCCATTAAGAAGGCAAGGATATGTATTTTTGAGACTACCTTCATGTTCTACTTGAAAACAAGAAAAATGTGCCAAAAATGCTACTGCCTGTAATTTGGGGTGAATGTGGCAGAGTGATGACTGCTACCCCAAAAGCAGAAAGAACCACCGTGCCTAACGGTGAAATAGAAATCCTTCACTAAACTAAATTTTATTTTCACCAAGATTGGAAGATCACAGTAAATATCTTATTTCTGAAATTGCCTTATTTCTAAACAAAATATAAGAAATACATAGTATAAGAGGTACACAGTAGACGCAGCATCTGAGAATGAAACCAGGAATGCAGCAGCATGTGTGCCAGGAAAAATGTCTCGTTGGGTGGAAGAAAATATGAAAACTAATAATGTCTCTATAGGAGGCCAAATTATGACCGTGTTTTCCAACAAATTTGGACTCCTGAACCTCTTCCGTCTTGTCTGTCTCCAACAGACAGATGCAAAACAAAAAAGCAGTGATACCCTGAAGGAAGACATAGAAAGAAAACAGGGAAATCTTACTTTGCAGTAGTTTCTTCATCGTATTTTGTTTTCAGATCAAATAGTTCTGTTCTGGTTTTTTCCAAGGCTAAAAGGCATAAACATGAAGCATTACAGCACTGTAACAGCAGTGAAAAGCAAAACATTACTCCTTTTTCTTTTATTCAGCCATAAATAAAGCTGCACACCTCCTGATGAAAAATTCTTTGCTTTATCTTTCTACCTAGGCAAACCATTATGACTTCCAAAAAACAGAGCTTTTGATTTTTCACAATTTCTTACGCTATTTCTTTTATATTGCAAAAATTCCCAGTTTCTGCCTAACAAAGCTAGATATTGCTAATTTCTTATTAAGCTGGCTAAACTGCTTATTCTTTTGAAATATTTATTGCAGTAATTCAGGGACTAAACTTTCTTATGTTCTCATAGTAAACAAAACCAAATGTGTCCAGACCTGGAACCCGTAAGATGCAAAGATGAAAATTAATGGCAAGCAAGTCACAGCAACAGGCAAGACACACTGGTAGAAACTGGGTTCCTACCAGACCCAGATCACTACATGTATTTATCATAGTTCAGAAATGTGTGAAACCAGAGCAGAACACAACACGGATGAAAAGTTCCATGGTCTGCTTTAATGCAGCGATGCTCTAATACCGTACGTGCTTCATGCTTGGCCTTGTCCACGGTGTTTACCAACACAAGCTGCCACACAAGTGTTCGCTTAAGGTGTGAAGCTGAAGACAAGCGCCGATTCACAAAGCACGTTCAAGCTCTGCTGGATCTCTCTGCACTTGCAAGAGCTGGTTCACACACAGTCCTGATACATCTAATGATCTCTATCCTCTCACCTCCAGCCTCATCACTGGTATAGGTCAGAATAGCAATGCCAAACCTGTTTGCAAAGCTTGAACTTTGTGTTCGGTTTCTTCCAGCTTCGAGGCTGTTGACATCTGTGTCTCCTGCAATTTTCTATAAAAGGAAGAGAAGAGGTGAGAACAGAGCTCGTAATCATGTTAAACAACTTACTTGTATTTTGCAAATTTGGAAGATAGAGTGATTAAATTTCTCAACTATAATCAGACAACTGACAACACCACATAGACTACAAGGTGCTTCAATGGGACCCATAAATCACGTCACATTGCAATGGTGCTCATACTGTGCAGTCCCACTTATTAAAATTTTAACAGTGTAGCCACTTCATAACATAAGCTGTGAACATTATACAAGAGTTGACTGCTATATAAATGACAACTTTAGTGGAAGGTTTACTTGAGCATAATTTGTTTTGGAAATGTCACACACATTAAGAAAATTGTCACCAAGCACCCTCTGTTGTACAAAGTTAGTACAAGAAGAATGATACGTTTCCATTTTACTGTCATAATGAAGAAATTTGTTGCCATAACTGATATAGTGAATAGATGCGGCAGCTGTTTCATCATAGCTATAATGGATGCCAAATGCAGTAATATTATTAGCTACTCTTTAAAAACACACACATATTTCAAAACAAATCTCACTGATATTTTCTATACAACACGAGCAAACCTTTAATATGCTCACATTTCTTATGTACACAGGCAATATTTTCTTGTTTGTGTCAGTTATACACATTTTCACATCATCTGGCCATACAGTCACTACGTTCTCTGCTAAAGGCTAGACTACAGGAGTTATAAAACTCATCTTTGAAAGGGAGATGCTCCAACATCTGCCAGGAGTTCCTTTTTACGACATTGCTTTTAAGATATTCTGCAGATTTCAGAATTGTGAAACGGCTTATGAAACTACCAGCATCCTACCTGCACTCCATAGGGTGGCATAAATTTATTATCCAACACTGCTGACCAGGTTAGTAACTATTTACAGTGAGAAACATGCATCATTTCCCTTCATACCAAATTATATACTCTCAGAACTCAAAATCTCCCTTATACATACTTTTATTTGCATTCTACGACCTGCCATTTTATTTTAAGCATATTTAAATTGCACTTGATAAAGCCACTGTTTACATGCTACCTATCAAAAAGTAACCACAGATATTGGTGAATTAAAAAAAAAAAAAAAAAAAGCTTTGCATTCCCCAGTAGATTCTTCCCACTCCGACCTGAACTTAAAACAACCAAGCCACCAACTAAAAAGCTCATGTAAACTGAAGGGCTTCTACACTAAGTTGAATGTATTATAGCTTCACTGTTATTGTTCTATGGGAGAAATAAATTCTCAAGGTAAGGAACACAGCCTGTAACCCTCTTAAGACCTTTGGTCTTGTCCTGCCCAATTTGTTTGCCCACTAACCCACAAGATTAAAACATTCCCTGCTCATTTGCAAAGGATTAGAAATGCATCCAAGATGCTTAAAAAAAAAAAATCCATAATCAATTGTCAAAATACTTCTTAATTCTGACATGTAGGAATATGCAAACCTTTTCAGGATAATTCAGGAACACGTCCCCTCTCTTACAGATTGCCATAGGAGCAGGGGTGATGCATCTTTTACCCAGGCTCTTGGGTACAGTGTTTCATCTTAAACAGCTCAGGGTTGTACAGATTGTACAATGGTACTGTGACACACAAAGCGAACACAGCAGACTGAATTACACTGCTGGCTAATGGAGAAAGATTAGTGTCACAAAGGACAATACAGCTAGTGGAGAATAAAAGCAGGTTTGCACCCTTCTGAACATGACACCCCACACACAACACTACTGCGAAGAAACAATCTGTCCTTGTTTTACTTCCACACTTTCACAATTGTTTTTCTGTGCAAAGTTGAGTATCAAATGATTCCGTGTCAAACACATAAATCACCAGAATTGCTCAGTATATGAGCTGTCTCAGTACACCGAAGAGAGAGTCCTGGCTGGGAAGATTAAACAGAAAAATACATCTCTCCTCCTCTACAATACCTACAGACACACACACGCACACTCACCTCTCCTTCTCCGCGAAATCATTTTGTAACTTCTGCTCTTTTTCAAGGGCTATATTCTCCGCTTGGTTCTTCAGGGTCTGTTCATATTCTCGGATTTTCTCTTTAAGTGCTTTTATTGTAACCTCTACAGAAAAACAATAGGGGAAGAATGAGTTTACACAGCTCCACGTGGTTCCGCAACACAAGGCTTTCTTTACCCTGTAGGCTCAGTGTGTTTTAAACTTTAGCTCTTCAACTCTGACACAAAATCAATGGATATGAGTCCCTTTGGAGACCTTTTACTCCCTAAATGTTAAATTGAACTTTAAGTGTTTAGGTTGAGAAGGATCAATGGAGTTTGCTGGAAAGCAGGGTGAAGAAGATTCTTCTAACATGACTTAAAAAAAAAAAAAACAGAAGGGAAAAAAAAAATCAATTGTAAAATATAATATCACCCTTATTGACTAGTCTCAAATTAGCTCGCTGCTGAGTGGAGATTAATAAAGTCCCAGTGTAGGTTTAAGTATGCATTTACACATAGGACAGTTAATTCACATAACTGTGCTCATGTTAAAAAAAGGCAGTTTTTCTATGGTTCATGCACAGATGCCATCTAACACTAATTGAACACATATCTGGGATACAGCTATGTTCTGCTTCATAACTGATGAAAAGTACGGCAGTTAAGATTTAACTGCTGTATTAACAGTAGATCAGATTCAACAGACACTCTGGAGCCCTTCACATTCTAGTTGCTCTAACTGCCTTGTCATCGACACTGGGTTTTATGCGCGAGCATTAACTATTATAACTTTCTGAGTACTCTTGTAGCCTTCCAGGGAATTTGCAGAAACCCTTCTCTCAGATAAAGAAGGTATCTTGCATTTACTGTGCCTGGTAACGGATGAGAGAAGATGCATAAGCCGGCAGAGTTACGGCGCAGCATCTTGTTGCATGCCCTGATCCATTCCTACATGAAAGCCCTTTGATCCCACCCACAGGAAAGGACTGAATCCTTATAGGGCTCATGAGAGGAAAAGCAGGACATTCACCAGAGTATGCTTTGTAACAATAATGGAATTTGGAAAAAGCATTAGACTGCCAGAAGACTCGGAGCTAGCAATACATTTCAATGTACTTACACGGAGATGCGGTGGTTTAAAGACATCAGCTTATTAACAGATGCCATTAACAATGCTTTAGGAAAAAATACCTTTGGACATAAAAAGTTTCTCATTCTGCAGAAACATCGTACAAAGATAAACTCTACTATGAAAAGTAAAGCCTAGGGACTTTGGGGAAAAAAATCTCGATATCATCACACAAAACTATGCATAATCCTTTCAAAGTCTAGACTTTTAGACTTGACTAGAGGACTGTAAAGCCAAACAGTAGATAGCTGGTGACAAGGTCCACTGTCTGGGAATTACACTGAAGGCAGCTTGAGCCACTGTGACCACAAAAAAAAAAAAAAAAGGGGGGGGGGGGGGGGGGGGAAGGGGGGGGGGGGGGGGGGGAAAGAGCGGTAAAAATGATTGCCCGCAAACCAGCTACTTCTGAATGAAGGAGCAGGATTTTGCTAGCCCTGCAAAAATCAGATGAGGCTCATTACTGAGTAATAGGCCATGAAAAGGACATGTCACACTTTTTAAAAAAAAAAAAAAAAGCAAAGGGAAATTCTTCTCTGAGATCCGGGAAGTAATACAGTTTCTGATCTTTTCCTGAATAAGTGAAGGATGCTCCTTCACACAGACAAAAGGATGCTCCTTCACATGTACAAAGCATGTACTCTTTGTGCTGGAGACACCCTTGCTCCAGGTATTTTCAGACATAAACCTGCGAAAGTATTCAGGCATATGGAGAAGCAGAGAGTGAAATAATCCCATGGGAATGCATGTAGTTGCATCTTGACAAAGTTTGAATGTTTCTTTTTAGAAGGAAACAAAACTAGAAAAATGAATGCAAGAAGTGCACAAATATGGGAAAAAATTATGACTTTTGTAGGAAAATCTCTTTTTACCTTTAGGCACCTAACAATAGATGTGTTGGACAAGCACAGTTTAATCCTCTACGTTGTTTGAAGAATTAAGTGTCGTCTTTACTGTTCAGGTCAGCTAACGCTTGTTAGCCACTGCCATTTATACCAGTTTTGGAAGAAGTTCTTACAGGCACTGCATAGCTCGTACACAGCCCTCCAAACAAAGCGATTAACTGATCAAAGCACCCTTAGCTAACAACAGGCTTTTCCCTGGATATCTTATTAACCCTTGTTTGAAACAGAGTGTAAAACTATTGGACTGGTGTGAAAAACAATGCAAAGACTACAGTGGCTAAAGGGAAAGGAAGTTAGTGCACTCTGGGGAAAATAAAAAATGCCAGTTTATGAGTGGTTGCAGCAAAAAAACTCTTTACTCAAGATCTTCTCCACTTTCTGGGATGAACCCCTATGTCATGCCTGGATGTCCAGGATGCACTGCCTCAGGAAAACTCTGCACAGTGAACTGCAATTATGTACATTTCCAGCAAAAATACTGTCGGGCTTAAGAGTGTTATGGCTCCCACATGACATCTTTGGCAGTCCAGGCTGAATCCTTGCATGCCAATACCTGTCCGCTCCATAGGTCACACCCTCTATGTTAAAACAAAAAATGTAACTGCATATATGCTCCTTCTGCTGAAAATGAGGTGTAAGACAACTTAGTGGCTAAGGTAGCTTTCAGATGTTACCCACCTGGGTGCAACAGTTCCATAATATTAAAAAAAACCCACCACCCTCAATTTTCCCAAATACCTAGACAATTTACCTTTCCACCACCCAGAACTGAGTATTAAACATGGAAACGAATAGTCCAATGTATAGGCAAGTAGGTGTACAACTGAGCAAATTTCATTTCCTGGTGCAGGAAACTTTCTTCTGAATCACAAGGAAATTTGAACAGTCTTAAAGACAACAGGCTTTAATTCTCATTGAGATTTTCATGTATTTTCATGTACTCTAGTCTCATTAAAACTAACTTAAATAATTAAACAGTATTAGCTTGTATTTACAGCGCTCTATGAACAGTCTCTGGAGTAAATATAAAGTATGTATGCTGCATGTACTCCAGTAACACATTTCAGATTTAAACAAGGAAAAACAAGAGTACAGAAAAAGTTCCATTTTCTACAGATTTGTATGTGTATATAAAATACTGGATTTTTGTGTTTGTCTGTGTAAAATATGTGTACTACAAGCACCCACACCCATATTCAGCTTGATGTCAGTAGTAGCACCGTCTCTCATAAAATGTCTACTTATAACTTCAGTCAGGGGTGTAATTTTCAGGTAGCGCTGAAGGCTACAACCGAATATGCAGAATAAGAGCTCCATTCTCTGACTTGCTGCTGCAGAAGGTGAAACTTGTAAAGGAATCTGAAGAGTCCACCTGAAGTCATAACTATATGCATAAATACAGAAGTGGCTATAATAGACTATTATACTTTCTTTACTGAATTTCAAGGTACTGTCAATCCTACCTGTAAGAAATAAACCTGAATTTAATCTCTGTCTTCAAATTTCAGTATGCATTAAAGCTGATAAAAGAATATGTTTGCAACCTACCCTGATTTTTCACCTCGGCGAATTCTTTATTGTATTCCTCTAGAGTTTCCCTAAGTTTCTGGTTCTCTGTTTCAATATCGTGCATACGTTGAACCTTCAGCTGAAGCTGCTGTCCTAAATCCAAGGCTGGAACCGGATCTGAAAAAGAAACAGTAAAATAAAATGTAGGATAACAGAAACACTTCTGGGACTCAAGCAGTTCAGAGCACAAGTGTCCTTTTTTCCTCTATTAATATCCACTTTAAGTGCCAGTAAGGCCCTACTTGGAGTTATTATTCCTCTATGTTCCTCACCTCCTACCCTGCAAACTTCAAAAAACAGAGATAGTTCATTGTATCTATGCTAACCTTTGAATTGGGGCATGACGCCTTCATCCTGGTGTTAATCCCCAGGGCAGAATCCCTGAGTGCAGACAGTCATGATATGAAGGCACGTGAGAGTCTTAAGTTTCAAATTTTTCTTTGCAAAATGAGAATTTCTGGGTAAAAAGCAATCAAATTGCATGGCTCACTGACAGCTAGTGTCCCTCACATACCTCTGCTTCTGTGGGAGTGAATTTATGAAGCAAATTGTGCCCTCCTGCACAATGAGCTCCAAAAGGTTATTTGATCATGGAGGTCTGAGTTACACTTTTTCTAACTAACAGATCAATAATTATCAGAAATATTGCGTGGATCTAATCAATCCCATGAACCTTGGGTTTTGTGATTCTTGTTCCCTCTTTTTCTTATACTAGTAATTGAATAGAAATTAGAAATCATTTTGAGTGTCCTCTCAGTATTAATTCTCTGATGTTCAATCCCCTTCTGCCAAGGAAAGTCCTTAGCACACACCTGGCATGTGCACATGTGCTTTGTTCCGGCACCTCTTCCCAGTCGGAACAGGAAAACACCGGAGTCTGATGGACTTTATAAAAGATTATTGAATGTATTTCTGTTATGGGCGCCAGCATCTCTTGTGAAACGGCTGCAAAGATTTAGTCTCCTGTTGAGGAATGCTAAACACCAAACTCAGTGGATCAACAACAGTATATATTAGGGAGTTCACTTAATTTTCAACCACCACAGTCATTAATTTTTCAGACCACCCTCAGTCTCTGGAAACACATAATAAGTCTATTGTACCTCTGTTAACACATTAAGCATGAGCCTGTGTGTTTTTTCAATATGCCAGCGTTGTTTCATAGTTTATAAAAGAATAGTACTGGGTTATGTTGAGCTCAGAGACATTATAAGTAGCAGCCTGCTGCATTTTGTTACTTCGGTTCTTCAACAGCTTATGGCATTACCCTGTTCATAATACAAAATCTAGGTTGCTTGTCATCTGTTCTCTGTACATACATAGTTTATGACTACATAGCTTTTTCATTTATGCTTTTTAGGCCAAATACTTTTCGTTATTATTATCTGTATTAAAATATTTATAATAAATCAAACTTAAAATGTTATTGTGGCAGAGACAGAGGGTACAGGTAAGGAATTAAATATAGAGTTTAAGTCACAGCAGTAGCACGAGTTAAAGGCCCTGCAATATTTACGTATGGTCCAGTTATGGTACGGGCTGTCACAACATCACCCTTCTCCCATGTAGGTCTGCTGACCTTTATCTGAAATGACTGTTTTTGTCACACTTCTGCAGCTCAGCATTTCTCCGAAAGAGCTAGCCCAGGACATTCATCTGCTGAACATAAAGAAAGCCTGGATTGTCTCAACCTATCCGCAACTTAAATTGTCACAGAAACCGCAAAACGTATCAGGCAGGGATCTTAAGCTTCAGCCGTGATACTTCTCTGAAATAGTGTTAAAATGCCACAATGAAAGAAATTGAACTTTACAAAATTGTGGGTGCACTTCTTCCCCCTCATTTTAACATGCCCATTGTAAAAAGCCAGGACACCCACAAGAGCTATTTTGCTCCAGATACACAGGGCTTTTTATATTTAAATCAGTAGAGAATTAAAAGACAAAAATAACATGGGCATTATAAAGTGAATAATGACTAAACCTTTAGTCAAATTTGCAATCCCTGAGAAGCTTTATGTACAAAATGAAAATGTTTGCAATCTCATAATTATTCATCAGGACATGTATATTTAATTCAGCTCTATTAAAGGTTAATGTTCAAGTAGCAAAACAGTGGCAGAACAAACAAAATGTAAAAACAGTCTCTGTGCATTAAACTTCAAACTTTACTAGAGCCTATCTGAAGGACTAATGGCCTGCAGCCACTAAGTACTGCTTAAGGATATGTAAAAACCATGGCTGAAGCACCTCTTAAGACTTAATTTTTATAAACTGCATTCAAGAAAACTAATCATTGCATGACAATGAAATGACCAAGACATTTTGGGCAGAGAGACAAATACTTAATTTCTCATGGCAAGCCCCAACATGCTTTTTAACCTCAAAAAAACTAAAAACCCATGATTTCTTAAGTATTTATAAACACCAATTAATCTGAAACAAATATAAACCTTACAGTCAGAACAAGTTTTTTCTTACCTGAGTGGAGCAGATTTAAAAATAAGCAAAAATACTCTCCTCTTCCCAACATAAGCATGCATGAAAAAGCCTACCTTTTTATATTAACCAGGCTTACGAAGTATGTTTCATGTCATTTAACAGGAGGTCACTGAATTTTTAAACAAGCAATGGACCACAACTTTCAATTCATTACACAAACAACAGGCATACACATTTCAAAAAAATCAAGTGGCACTAGCTTATGTAGCAAGGCAAAGGAGGAAAGGCCCTTTCTGCAGTCTGTAAAAGAGAAAAATCATCTCATTTAACACTTGAATGTGGCAAACGCATCACAAAGTATTCTGTTGGTTTGAATCTTCTCTAGCTTGCAAAAGTTCAGAATCCCTGCTAGGCACCAGATAAGTAAGAAATGAGAAAATTGGTAAAAGGAATCTGATCATCCAGAACTTGAAAAAGTGTTTTGCAAGATCATTATTGCCCAAGAGTAAACAGAGATGTCTGTTTTACACTAAATTTGGTAATTTTTTTCCTATTGCTTCCTATTCTGTTCTCCTTTCCTAATCCACTTGTTGCATCCCACACCCACAAAGAAGCCCGTTGCATCACGTGTTTGCAGGCAGCCCAGCACATCTGGATCCGCTCCCTGGTAAGGCTTGCTCCCTGCTACCACAGGGGAAACGATAGATGCCGCATTTTAAAACCAGAATCTGCAAAGCCTGTTCCTGCCTTCGCTTCCCAACGAATTGCCTTCCAGTGCCACTTCACAAACGGACCTCTGAGCACGTCCCTGTGCTCACTGCTGTGACACACCACACCGCTCCCCCGGCAGACGAGCTTCTATCCACACCAAGGGGGTGGATGGACACATCTCAATGAACACGGACATGAAAAAAAGTAATGTTCCATACGTAACGTAATTTTTATAACAGTTAATACTTCATACCAAACAAGCCAGTGCAACACAGCCGCAGTAACACCTCTCAGACTGTTCCTGCAGCATATACATGCCCTGACGATAAATCTTTTCTGAACAGCAGTGCAAAAGAACCAATTTGGGGTTTTTTGGCTGCTGCTGCTTATGCATGTAAACTACGTATTTTACCAACAATTTTAAAAGAAACGCAAAGCCGGATCTCGCCAAAACAGCACATTACACAACTAGCAAGAGGCAGCACCTCACCACCCGCAGCCCCACGCTGCTCAGGCCAAACCCAACCTCAACCCAGGAGGTAACACAGGACTATCGATGACCAAAGTGAGCTTCGTTTTAAAAAAAAAACACACACCCCTTCCTCTCTCATTCTGTGAGCTGAAAAAAGACACAGATCTTAATAATTCAATCTAAGTGTTTACACAAAGAGCACTGTGGGTCCCGTTGCCCTCCCCTGTCATTAGGCAGAAATGAATGCACCCCCTTGTGAGCGCTGCTCCTGCGATGACATCACGCTCCTGCCTGCGTTACTTTTCGCCAGGGCACTCTAGGCTAATGTAATCATACGATTACATAATTAACCCAGCTGTCTCATTAAGAAAATCAACTGGAATTCAGGGCATAATTAGTCATACAGCAATTAGCATGCTGATGAGCAACTGATGAAAAGCTGTCTCGATATAGAGTGTGCTGGGACCACCCTCGTTATTTAAGCAGGGGGGGAAGCCCACCTCAGCTCTAGGAAAATAAGCTCGTTCTGGGGAGTTAATGTTTAAAACCCCTTGGCCGAGGTCGTTTCTGCGGCGAGAAGCCGCCTCCCGCCC